CCTTTTTTCTTGCAATGATTTCGCTAATAGGTGGTGTAGGAGAGATATATGTTGAGACACCCTGAGCTGTTTCCTAGTTATGAAGCATAGAGACAGCACAATCCATCTAGGTCATATTTATAGAGATAATTTGGCCGTGCATGATTCGGTTGCTCGAAACATTTATATCAGATAATATATCTCTATAAATTTGAACTTGGAAGGTCTTCATAGACACTAGAAATCTCCAATGATGTAGAACAAGGACATATGCCATAACTTTCCTTGAACTTGGTTCATACGTGTCCTTTCAAACCAATTGATTTTTCTCGTATGCTGCAGGAAAGCTCGGATGTAGCATGTATTCGCTTTGATACATGGATGTTCACCGTGTATCTTTTTCTTAAAAAAGGTTCCATTTGCATTTAACAAAATGTTTAGCATGTACTTATAAAAATGTTCAATATGTATCTAAAAATGTTCAGTCGTTATATAAAAAATGCTTAGTACGCAATTGACAAATGTTCAACATGTATGTAAAAATGTTCAGCCGTTATATAAAAAATGCTTAGTATGCAATTGACAAATGTTCAACATGTATTCGAGTAAAAAATTAAACATATATTCGAAAAATGTCTACCTTGTATCTAAAAATATATTCAGTGTGTATATGAGAAATGTTCAATACCTATTCAAAAAAAGTTGACATGTATTTGAAAAATGAAGAGAAAAAATAAAAAAGGGGAAAAAACAACAGAGGAAAACAGAAAAAACAATGAAAACTGATATAGGAAGCACACAAAAAAGAAAAGAAAAAAAAGAATGTCGAGGAAGCTTCTAAAACTAGTCTGAACCGATCCACAGATATTTTTGAAAATCGATGCAGGAAGGATGCACCTTTATTGGGCAGGCCCGCTAGTTGAAGCGCTAAAGGCAAGACAGTGCCAAGTATTGCAATGAGAGAGTTATAGGGACTATCCTATATCACGTTTAATGCGACAAACTATCGCTGAAACAAACAGGCGAGAGGTGCGAGCGAACGACATGGCCCAACCCATTTTTAGCAGCATGAGCTTGTTGCAGAATCCCAGTTTTGGGAACCTTCTAGAAGTTTTCTGAACATTTAATGGTTTTCTCAGGTTTTCTCCTTTTCTTTTTCTGTTTATTTCCTTTTCTATTATCTCACAATTGTTTTGTGAATTTCTAAAAATAATCAGGGGTTTCCAAATTTGTTAAGAATATTATAAATTGTTCGGATATTTGAAAATATTCAGAATATGACAATTTTTCACAATTTCATAAAATGATCAATTTTCAGAAAATTGTTCATGCTTTTTCCCCACTTTTTTCCCTTTCTGTGGCTCTGGCGGAAACGCTCTATTCCTCCATGAGAAATACATATGTGCCTCCCGTGGAAGCAAAAAAAAAACAATTTTTCTTTCCGAGAGGCACACGGAAGCATATTTGTGCCTCCATGAGAAGTTAATTTGTG